TGTTCTACGTTATTTCGGCTTCTTTTCAAAATATAATGTATGTCTTTCGATTTATTCATTGTTTCAGATTTTTAACTTTTTTTTCAGTTTTATAGTTTTTTTGGAGCTTTTTGCCCAATTCATTTTTTTCTTTTTCAGATATTAATTTTGACGCTGAAGAAATCTCTCCCAAATATTCTTCGTTTTATGTCCTGCACAGCAGTACTGTACGCTGGATTTCTGATTGCTGGTTGGGTCATCATTGGACCATACAGTCTAAAGGTTTCATTTGAATTTCGTTCATATTCCATGGAAGAGAATTTTAACATTAGAATTATTGTTGCGCAATATTTCGAAGGTTCGATTCCCCCGCTTCTGTGACAGTCAAGCCTTTTATGATTCGTCCGTGGTAAACTGGTACTGGCATATGTCGGAAATTCAAAGGTTGCTTATAAGCAACTCTTGAAAAAGTACGCTTTTGTTATTCTTGTCAGCGAGTGGTTGCTGTCGGCATTTGCTGCTCCTTCGGTTTTTTCCTGATTCTTTTGGTTTTCCACGGAGAGTAAATAAGGAAGAGGTTTTGTACTGAGGTGGAGGCACTCAGAAGCAACATGCTTAAGGTTTCAATATTTTCAAAAAAAAAATTTAAAAATTCGAGTCAAATTCGAAGAAAAATTCAAAAAAATTAGCTTGTGGCTTCAAAATTCCCGAGCTTTTTGGCAATTGAATGCATTTTTGTTTTCCTGACAAAACTGTCGTTTATTTTGATACTGAAGAAACTGATTTTTCAAAGTGTTCAGCATGAGTGGACCTGTTGTACCAGTAAAGAAATACAAAACACTCAAATTTACTACTTTGAATAACCGCTCTCCTTTTTGTCGCTGCCTCTTTTTTCGCCGTCGATTCGACCAGTAGCATTTTCACGTATTGCCAGCAGTTTATTGAATAAAATTCAAGTGAATCAAAAAAATAAAGTTATATTTTGGTCAGATTTTGAGTAAATTTAGCCGAAAAAAACGAAAAAGCATTTTGAAGTGAGAAAAATCTTTCACTTCGAGATGAGATCTTCAGCATTTTTTGAGCTTGTCACATCCACTTCGCTGAAACGCTGCTGAGCCTGTGAGAAAGTATAAAAATGTCAGGAAAAGAAATTATAAGAAAATTATGAAGTAAATTTCAAAGCAATAATTTTTCAGTTTCGTACGTTGGGACAATCATCAGAAGCGTTGTTTTCGCTATTGAATGGTGATGATATGTTTGCGACATTCTTTACAATTAATGAAACGAATACAATCGTTCGAATATTTGGCACAATCTATATCTATCTGTTTGTTTCACTGTTCATTTATGTTGTCCTCTCACTATTCATTGCGATTATTATGGATGCTTATGAAGTAATCCGGGTATGCGATTTCATTTAATTATTCCAGAAAATTTTCACTTTCTGAAAATTGCAAACAGTGCCTTTTTTTGTTATTTTGGCCGAAATAGTCTTAATCTTTGGTCCGGAATTCGATTACTGTCTTCTTTTTGTTATAGATTAACGGAAACGATCAATTTGCCGTTGTTTTTCTTTTTTTTTGGTTATTTTTTGATTTGCTAGCCTTTATCAGAATTCGTTGTTTCTTTGATTATTTTTTGATTTTCCGCTTTTTCGAAAAGAAATCCTTACTTTTAGTCTGGAATGAAATCATGTGTTTCTCAGGAATGAAGTCTTTTTCTTTATTGAAACTGAACATGTTTTTATGCGTTTTTTGCCGCAATGCAATGCGAAAAACGCATATTGACGAGAGGTTGTCTGTGTGTGTGTGTGTGTGTGTCTGTG